GATTTTTTGTGTAATAGTATTATCATATTTTTTAATTCAATTTATACACTAAGTTCATCAGTATTGATATTTAAAACTGTATATAATTCTAGTATCATATAGTTGAAGATACGTAATATATTTAGAAGGTAAAAAATAAACTTTGATATTTAAAAGAATTGTATTATCATTAATATTGTGAGAGAAGATATTATCTACAAGTAATAGTATATTTCTTTTTGACTTATACATAATCAAATTGTTTGTAATTAATTTATCTAATATTAAATAATCAGTTTATTCAAGGTTTTAAATATTCAGTTTATTCAGATATAGTTTAAAGAGAAGAAATTATATGTAAAAATACTTCTTTGATATACACATGCTAAAGTATATTCAGATAACTTTGAAACACAAATTTACTAGAATATATAACAATTTTTTTTTAATGATATATATGTAACAAGATTTAAACAAGTAAAATTTAAATTATATATTGGTATTAGGTAAATATATCTTATTAATTTTTAGTTATATATAAGTTGTCACTTCAAGTACTTCATACATGTATGAAGTTCTTGAAGTAGCAACTAACATTAAAATTTACACAGATTAAAAAATAAAAAATATATTAGTATAATTTTTAAGTTTTGTTATACTTAATCCTAAAATATGATTGGTAAAATAGATCTACACAATAAGTTAATCAAATAGTCAATATATGATCATTTTGGTATAGTAAGATATATTTATAATAATTAGTTAACCAAATTTTTTTTAAGTTAGGTTTATATAATAAATTTAGCTTAGCTATTAATAAAAATTTTGGGGAGTTATAAAAACTTTAGATTAATATATCTTTAGCTTAGAGCAAGTTTAGCTTATTGAGTTTACCTTGTACTTTGAAAAGTATATATTATATAATTCTTTAGTTATTCTATAATTTAAGAAAGATACTTTAATAGTATATGAAGTTGTTTCAATTGTATTTATATGAACATCTGTTTTAGAATCTTTAAGGTATTTTGAATAATTGACTCTTTCAAGTTTCTATTCATATTTTTTAAACTTTTTAATCTGATAAGTAGCTCAAAAATTATTATAAATAGTAGTTTCTTTTTTTATATATTTCTCTAAAATTTTTATTAACATTTTTTGTTTGTAATTAAGAACTGTAACTAAGGGTCCAGTGATCTTAGTGTAGTGGTTAGATTGTCAGACTGCTATGTAAGAGGTCTTGGATTCAAATCCTACTATCGACGAGTTTGAATAATTAATCAGACCTTTGTATCTAACTTACAGTAAACTCTGTTCATTTCTGAGGGTTGTAACCCTGTAAATCATATTGCACTAATGTCAATCAGATATTG